CTTTTTCTCCTAATCAAACACCATCTCAACCAGTCCTACTTTCACTATGATTTTGAACCCAGTCCTTTATCAGGCCGAATTCACTTCCGGGTTATTCATATCCATATCTCTCTGAGACTCCTTATTGTGCCAGGATTCGATTACTCGTCTTGCAGCATAATCGACCTAGGTTTGGAAGCCCATGAACTAAACGATCCATGATACCTTTGTCGTAAGGCCTTCTGGGCCGAGAATGATTCTATACTCAGCGCAAACTAATATTTTTGGCCCAAACAAATGTTCAATTGAAGATCACCACTACAAAAATTCATTTGAAAGGGAGAACATTAAAACCTTTAAACGTTTTAAATAAATGGACAGTTCATCATCAATATGTTACTTGGTACCTAGACTGTTAACTTGTTCTATACATTTGAATAACTAAATAAGCTCCGATTGAAATGTTTTTATGAGTGATCTAAAATGAAGATTAATGAATTTAACGATTCCAATTGTTAAATTTATACGATCAAAATACGCTAACGCGAATAGGAGAAATGTGCAACCTGAAGTAAAGCTCATGAGCTTATTATCCTAAGTCAGAACAATTTGATAGGATCCCCTTTTTTACGTCCCCATGTCCCTCCCATGTGGCAACTTGGGGGCGTAAAAAAGGAAAAGTTTCTTTTTGTATATTATATGGATGATTCGATTCTCAAGGACCATGATTGGGAATTGTTTGATCATCTTTCTCTGAGGAACTGTCCACTGCCACTAAATCACCACCCCCTAAGTCAAACTGGTGCCTGTTGTTGCACCAGGGGCCGTTGCGTTGGGTGCTAAAGCATGGGTGTTTTTGTAAACATGAAATGCACCAAAACCAAAGCAAGCCACCCCTGATTGAAATAAATGAATTCCAAAGATCTTAGGCAAATCCAAAGAGGGTTTTCATGTATGTTGATCGGCAAATATTTCTAGATCCTAATACACCCAATGCCATATAGCTGTAAAAAAGCACAAGCCCGAAAACACAATATGTGCCTCGAACATGTTGAGCTCCGCATATGCTTATGCAGTCAAGGGGGGCTGATTTTGTAAAAGATTAAATTAGTAAATGGAAATTCACTGAAACCAATCTTTGTGAGATTGGATTTAAAAAAGTGTAGGCCTCAGGCAATTTGGCGACAAAAAAACTACTTGAATAAAGAGCAGAATTAAGACAGATACAGATCAAACTAAATATATTAAGCATAACAAACATTTTGTTCTTGAGGATAATTGTATTTTCTTTATTTTGATTGAGTTATTAATAAATTGAGTTTTTTGACCTCCCACAATTAACACTAACACAAAATCATGCCATGTAGGATTTGAACCTATGACATCGGGTTTTGGAGACCCATGTTCTACCGAACTGAACTAAGAGCACTTTATTATCACAATTAAGGGCGAGAGTTTTTACGGAACTTCTCCCTAATCAACAAATAAAATTCAATTAATGAAATAAAAAAAATGTGGATGATTTGTAATGCATTGTATGTCCCATAATAGTTCCCATTCTTCTACTCTTTCCCGGGAGTTGATGACTATTCATAGCTATTACCTTGACACCAGGTAGGAGAAATGGAAGTTTGGGCTCTAGAAGAATTGGTGTTGCTCATATTTTATAAGAGATGCTTACTTATAAATCTATCATATTAGAACTCGCCAAGAAGTACTTGGTACTACAATCATTGGAGGAACAATACCTAAACCCAGGGATGCTCTAAAATCTTTTCGATTACTCATTCGAGAACTACAATACTTTGATAGAGAAAGGAATCCAAAATGGAATGATTTTGAATATCGATTTATTAGTAAAAAGTCATCTCCTACATTTGAATTGCCAAAACAAGAACTTTATGTGAGAGTCGAAGCCCCAAAGGGAGACACACGTGCTACAATGGTCGGGACAAAGGGTCACGATCCCGCAAGGGTGAGTGAACTCAAAAAACTCGCCCTCAATTCAGATTGTTGGTTGCAACTCACCTACATGAAGCCGGAATCACTAGTAATCACCAGTTAGCCATACAACGGTGAATTCCAATTGTAAATTTTATACGATCAAGATAAGCTAACGCGAATAGGAGATATGTGCATCCCCACATAAAAGATGCAAGCTTATCTATCATTTATCCCATCATTGGAATCTTCGAATGCATTCTTTCATTACAAAGATAAAATCTGTACAACCAAGTCGAAATGAAAACATACGATGGGTTTTATAAAAATAAAAAAAATACTTGTTTGTTTTCAACCAACAAGGACAAGAGACACTTGTTAACATGAAAAACGATTTGAGCATATTAAGGGTGAAAAGATGGCTCTCAGCAAAAAAAAGTGTCAGTAGACCCATATGGGTAGTCCTAAATTACGTGCCCAGCTAATTTTAGTAGTTTAAAATTATCAAACTAATTTTTTTCTTAACAAGTTGCAATGGGTTACCAGCGTGTTAAGAACCTGTCACTAGAAGAAAAAAGCTCATCTATCACGGTGAATGTCCGTGATAAATTGCAATCCATCACGGACACTGTGCCCGTTAGTATTCTGGATGTGATAAAAAGTCTAATTTTCTACCACGGGCTATGCCCGTTGTCAACTGCAATATGATCATGGATTGTACCCGTGGTAGATTGAGATCTAACACCACGTGCTATGACCGTTGTTGATTACTCATTAACCACAGCTAATGCTCGTGATAAATGGCAATTCACCATGGACACTATGCCCGTTAGTATTCTGGATGTGATAAAAAATCTCATTTTCTACCACGGGCTATGCCCGTTGTCAACTGCAATATAACCACGGATTGTACCCGTGGTAGATTGAGATCTAACACCACGTGCTATAAGCGTTGTCGATTACTAATTAACCACAGCTAAAGCCCGTTATAAATTATTTTCCAAAATTAAAAAAAAAATCATTTAACAAATATATATATATATATATATATCTGTATTTATATATTTTAGTATAGAATAACCAACAAAATTGCAGATTTACTACAATATAATAAGCACACAAAAAATACTTGATAATATTATAACATAATTTAAAAATTCTTGAGTTTCCAAAGGAATACATAAACGGAAGTCATAAAGTATTATCCATGTAGTGCCTAATGAATACATAAACGGAAGTCATAAAGTACTATCTATGTAGTGTCAAAGTACCATTTTCTAGTCTAAGTACGAACTAAAATTACTCTCCAACTCGAACGTACTTTGATGGCCAGGCAATTGTACTAGACACAGCATCCTCCAGGACACGAAATTCACTTGTAGGGCGGTACAAAGATATATTCTCCACTTTGACAACAGTTACCCAAACTTTCCAGCAATCAGGACCAAGCACCATGTGATGAACTTTCGCCTCAGGATTTGTTGATTCTATTTCTCCAGTTGCAACAACTTGTCCATTTTCGAGCCAATTTAGTAACTTGCATGAAGACCCTCGTAAAATACCAACAGGTTGTAACTAGCATAAAGAAATCAAATAAGAACATCAATTTGAAATGATTAAGTTATCAAACTATTTAACAATTATTATCAAGCATGTGTTTACTACCGGAGAAGTGGCTTTAGAACCTTCTTTTCTCTTAATGTTGTCTCTTTCTATGTTTGGACTACTTCTCTGTGACAACCAAACATGGAAGACACAAAATTCGATCAGTTTATATCAAAATCTCATAAGTTTCATAAGCTAACTATTTAGTACTTGTTCTCGTATACCTGGGAACTAGCTTTGGAAGCTTGTCTAGAAGCATCGTCAGCTTCTTGTGCAGTTCTTCTATCACATTGTATCTAATAACAAAACAAAAACAATCTAATTATCAACATCTGGTATGTCTTATTATATTTCCACTGTGCTATACTTGGGATCATATATGTACCTGAGAACTAGCTTTTGAAGTGTGTCTAGAACCATCGTTAGCCTCTGGTGCACTTTTCTTATTACATTGTAACTGATAAAAAGATAAATGCAAATAATCAAAATCAAAAGAAACAACTGATAACAAGATAGATGCAAAGAAACTATTAGCTGCATAGACTAACTAAGCCTGAAAGTGAACATGTTCACTATTTTCTTTCTATCTAATGATGAAGACATCGAGATAAGTTAAACAAAATCAGTTTCATACCTGAGGAGATGATCTGGAAACCTGGTAACTGGAATTGGGAACCTGTTTTACACCATTCTTAGTTCTTTGGAGATCTATACAGCCTCCCTGCGACTAGTGAATACGCAAGAAATAGAAGTTGATCAATTTCAGATTCAACAAAATACCAATATTTACTATAAGTACGTCGTACCCATTGCACAAGGCTCCCGCTTTACGCAGGGTCTGGGAGAGGTGAATGTCGGCTAGCCTTACCCCTATTTTATGGAGAGGCTGCTCCCAAGATACACAGAAATAAGTACAAACTAGAAAAATCATACTGTCATGACAAGAATGATGCAGAACATAACGAGATGGCAATTCATAATTTATTACCTAATGAGTACCATCAAATTTCAAATGAGTTAAGAAATTCCAATTTCAGTCTTTATTGCATCCACCAAGACCCAGACATCATGATAGGGTCGAATACCATCTTGGCAAAAGAAAATACGAAGATAACTGAATTAAGAATTAAGTGCTCATGCTTTTAACTGATCCTTTAGGTGCCTAGTTAAACCCGTAAAGAAACAGATACAAGTATCTTGTGAAAGGCTTCACCCTTACACTCTGACCAATAAGTAATGTGCATCACAGGAAACAGAAGGTTTATTCTTTAATGCCTCAAGACGCCTATAAACTTAGCAAGAGAAATTTATGATTTCACAGTTAAAGAGTATTAATTCCAAAGTTTTTAGGTGACTACGAGAAATCTACAGAAATTCGCCCTCCTCCAAAACAAAACTCACACAGGTTCAAACAATGCAGCACCAGAATATACAAAATCCAAGCATCCAAGATTGCCTTGAAAGAGTTCTACGTCTGTTACGAATATAATCTTCTCATTGATAGAATGCTTGGTTAAGATAACAGTCATTGGAAATAAACGTAAACACCGCAAGTGGTAAACCGAAAGAAAGTTCAAATGCAAACAGAGCAAAACTTCGACTCGAAAAATGATATTCGGTACCAGAAAGTTGCTTCATCCACAGTGCTCACATAAGCTCCGCCACCGATAACTAAGCCTAAGGTGGCTGCCGTCAACAACCGCCATCGACTCGTAAAATACCAATATTTACTAATGACCCATTTTTACCTGAGGCCTATTTGTGGAGACTTGAATTGCATCATTGGTATTAGTTTCTTTACCATTTCCCTGCAGCGATATGATTAGAAGTTAGAATATATTTTTTAGACCGTTATTTCCCTGCAGCGATATAATTACCTCATTTTGTTGTTTAGCCAACACAAGATCAAACACTTCCCGCAATTTTCCTTCGACATTTTGTAGTCGGTCTCTAAGCTCTCGATTACTCATGCTGGCATATGTTTGGGCATCATATCTAGTTTTACACAGGAATGGCCTCACAATCTGCCCGAACATAACCTTCATCTTCATCACCTACACAATCATCAAGTTTATAAACATCTAATGGGGCATATGACATGTAAGCATCCTCGTCAAACTTTCCCAAGTCATGGAACCCTTTTGGAGGTGCTTTTAGAACAACATACCAATCAGACGTTTCACTCTCTCTTGAATAAAATACTTGTTTGGCCTGTGAAGCGAGAATAAATGGATCATTTTGAAATTGATTTAGACGATGCAGGTTGACCAAAGTAAATCCATCATCAACCTTAATGCCATTACTAGTATTCGCCCAATCACATTTAAATATGGGGACCCGAAACGTGTAATAGTCCATCACTAGAATCTCTTGAATCACCCCATAGTATAAAACCTTTTTAATCTCTTCGGTGCCATTGACCGATGTTTCAGCTTCAAGATAAACACCACTGTCTTGTGTAGTCTTCTCACTAGCTCTTGTACAAAAACGCCTTCCATTTACAACATATCTTGAATATGACATTACTTGTGTTATCGGTCCAAATGCAAGCCCCTTTAACATGTCCGAGACACTTGTGTCTCCCAGTGCAATAACCTGTTCAGTAATTAATGGAATGCTAAAAACATAATATTGTTGGAACTACAAATTACCTACCTAAAAGTATAAAAAAAGAAAGTAGAAGAATATAAATCGAACCTTATTGCGGAGCCAAGATGAAAATTGAGTTGCATGCATCCTATGTAGCTTGTTCAATTTGCCTACAAGGCTCGGATCTGAATACTTAAGCTCCTCAACATGCATTCTGGAACAAAATAATATGTTATGAAGTTTTAATAAAATAGAATGCACATAAGCTTCTAAAAGGGTGCATAACTCACTCTCGATATGGCTCAGCTTCTGAGCTATTAAACAATATGTAACGATGAGCAATTTGGTACATTTCTGAAGACATGGTCATTGTCACACCAGCTGAAATAGGATTCCCAATAACAATTGATTCATCCTCATATCCGTTATGTCGTAAACCGATATTTTCAGCTTGTTTTATGTACTTACTACAAAATTTCACACACTCGTCAGCTAAGACACACTCTACCATAGACCCCTCTGGTCGTGCTCGATTTCTAACATAATCCTTTAACACCTTCATAAATCTGAAAGAAATTTAATCATGTCATAAACTAGTAAGTCATCTAAAATAGAAAAACAAAAAAATAGGCTAATACTAGAAATATAAATACGAAAGTACCTTTCAAAATGATACATCCAACGATAATGAACAGGTCCACATAGCCTAGCTTCCCTCGCTAAATGGATTGTAAGGTGAATCATAATATCAAAGAAAGAAGGTGGAAAATACTTCTCAAGCATGCATATTGTTTCTGCAACCTCATTCTCCAATACTTCCAGCTTACTTTTGTCAATAACTCCTAGACAGAGTTCGTGGAAAAATACACACAACCGAAAGATTGCATGTCTTGGACCTTTAGGCAAAAGACCTCTTATTGCTACTGGCAACAATTGTTGCATTAGGACATGACAATCATGGGACTTGAGTCCAATTAGATTGCAGTCACTTAGATCCACACAATTACTAATATTTGAGCTATAACCATCTGGTACCTTCATATCGAACAACCTCTTACAGAAAATATGTTTCTCTGCTTTAGAGAAGTTGTGAAGTGCTGGAGGTAGTTTCGTCTTTTTTCCTTTCTCTTCAGTTATGCATAAATCATGCCGAATACCCAATTCCTTTAAATCTTTACGACAATTAAGTCCATCCTTTGATTTACCTTTAATATGTAGCAATGTGCCAACAATACTTTCACAAACATTTTTCTCTATGTGCATGATGTCCAAATTATGCCTCAAACATAATTTCTGCAAAACAAGCAAAAATAAGCAAATTAGTTGTGAAAAAAATCGTACTTTTCTTTATAGTTAAATGTTAAGTGTAATTGTCAAACCTTCCAATACGGCAAATCAAAGAAAATTGATTTCTTTTTCCATATGTTAATAGGATCACTTCCTGTTGTCTGTACACCTTTCTTTACACTCATCTTCCTTTTTGTGCCTTTTTGTGTAGTTGACTTTTTTCCCCAATCCCTTCCAGCTGCTTCGGAAGCATATAAAACTTCTTCACCTGTCAATACCCTTGGTTTTTGCCCAATATCATCATTCCCATCAAACCATTTACCCTTCTTGCGAAACTCATGAGAAGGTGGAAGAAATCTTCTATTGTCGGTATATACATGCTTCTTACTAAACGGCAACCTCAAAGATCGCGTGTTAGCACCACATGCCACACAAGCAAACCTGCCCTTTGTAAAACATCCAGCCAAGTTACCATAAGCGGGATAATCACTGATTGTCCACATCAAAATAGCCCTCAAATTGAAAGTAGAATTTGTAGTTGCATCAAATACACCCACTCCTTCATTCCATAACACACATAAATCTTCTATGAGTGGTTGCAAGTAAACATCAATATCATTTCCGGGTTGTTTCTTCCCAGGAATTATTAACGTCAACATCAAATTCTCTTTCGACATGGCTAACCATGGAGGAAGATTGTATGTAACTAATATAACTGGCCAACAACTATATCTAGAGCTTAGCTGGCGGAATGGGTTAAATCCATCGGTAGCTAAACCAAGTCTCAAGTTTCGTGGATCTGAGGCAAAATCAGGATATCTAGTGTCAATAGACTCCCATGCTGGCGAATCAACTGGATGTCGCATCTTACCATCCTGACTTTTGTTGGTATGATGCCATGTTAAGTCTTTGGCCATGTCATCATCCTTAAACATTCGCTTAAATCTTGGTATAATAGGAAAGTAGCGCAACACCTTTGCAGAAACTCCTTTGTAAATGTGATTATTACGTTTACCAACCTGCCAACGTGAAGAACCACACTTTGGACACGTCTCAAGTTGTTCAAAGTCTTTCCAAAATAAGCAGCAATCATTTACACATGCATCTATTTTCTCGAACCCTAAATCAAACACCTTAAGTAACTTCTTTGTCGAATTCATTGAATTCGGAAGTGTATTACCTTCCGGAAACATGTCCTTTAAGGCTTGGAGGAGCTCGTCAAAAAGCTTATCTGTTGCACCATTTGAAGCTTTAATCTTGTATAAAACTACAGTTGCTGACAACTTTGTGTATTTCGTACAACCTTCATATAAAGGAGCTTCAGCTTCTTCAACCTTTTGTTTGAAATTCTCATCTCCAATTAGCAAGTTTGCTTTTCCAGTTCCATCATCTTCATCCAAGACATCCCTATACATCTGATATGTTTCTGTCACGTTGGCATAGTCATGTTGTTGAAGAATAGGTTCTTGTTCACCATGGAACACCCAAGTAGTATACGAAGGATCTATTCCATTTATAACCAAGTGTTCATACACAATCGCAGGTAGTTGAAAACATTGGTTTTGACATATTATACACGGGCAAATGATCTTATCTCGATTTCCTCCATATTCTTTAGCTACTTGTACAAACTTTTGTGCACCCTCTCTGTATTCTGTTGATGGTCTGTATTATAAATAAATCTTAATCACTTTAAACAGACCCTAGTTATCAATGTCAAAAATGAAATTCATTGAGGCAGATAATATACCTCGAAAATGTTAGCCAATCTTTGTCCATTGCAATCAGATAGTTGACAATGATCGTTTCCAACAATGCTTCTCAAAAGTAATCCTAAAATAATAATTTAATCAGAAATTAACACTGAAAATAAATAAAAAAACACAAAAAAAAAATTGAAATTTCGTACCTCTAAATTTATGGGTGTTTACTGTGAATCCAATTGAGAACTAAGGGCGCAGATTGCGAGAGGAGAAGACGAAGAGGGAGGAAGCACGGGTTTGTTTTGGCGATGAATGGGAAAAGCGCGTCAATTTCCAAAATAAAAAAGGGAAATCTAATGATCAAATTCAAGAAATATTCAATCTCACAACAATTTTAAGCCAATCAGTTATGCACCAAATCAAATTTTATGAAATTCTAGCAAAATACAACCCCAATAGAACACAAATGGACCATAAAAAAATACGAAATATCAACAACTAAATTCGATAAAGTAACAAACCACAGCGAAAAATCAAATATTTGGCTTCTGGGTAGTTGAGAAGAAGTGAGATTTAATTACCTCTTGAAGGCTAAAGAAATTGGGTACAGGATGAGGGGGCGAGAAGATCGTAAAGCAGAGATCGAAAAGATAAGGAAGCAGGGATCGGAAGGATCACGAAGCAGCGATGGAAGAGATCGATGCGGAGTGTAGGACGCATGATCGAAATCGCCAACCCGTTGCAGAGCAGCTGAGAATTCTGTTGTTACTGTGCAACAAAGAGAAAAAGCGCCTGATATGGAAAACCAAACGGAGGGCATTTTCGTCCGCGCATTCTCCGTAAACAGTGCAAGCTGGTTTGGGTTTTAGTATAGGAATACTATCCTCCAAAATATTAAAAAAAAAAAAAAACAAAATCCACCACAGGCCGATGCCGTGGTGAATTTTCAAAAGGCTGTGTGGTTGTTTGAAGTAACCATAACGAGTATATCGCGTGGTGGTTTTGATATTTCATCACGGGATTAAAAACCGTTGTAAATTATTTACTTTTAACAACGGGCCAGAATTTGACCGTGGTGAATTAATGTTATCTACCATGATCTACATGTAACCATGGTAATTGAATAGTTTCTACCACGAGCTGTTGATGCCCGTGATGGAATTGATGTGGTAAATATGCTGTTATGTACTAGTGTGTTAGTCACGTGGTCTTAATGTGTGACCCAATAACACTCGGAGTAGTTACGTGTTGATCCGAAACACATTAAATTCATGTTGTTTTGGGTCGGGTTAACAAGTCATGTAAAAAATTGCCAAGTCTTAAAGAAACGCTAATTTGTTAACCGTTTCTTCTATTTAGTATCTAAGGGACACTTCGTGAGATGAATTTCGTAACTTTTTCAATGATCCGAAGAGTTTATATTTCAATTCAATTCTTAGCAAAAATTAAAGAAATCCAAAACTATTATGGCATTTAATTGCAATGAAGAGTAAATGATGTTTCAAAAAAAAAAAAAAAAGAACTTAAATATCTACTACTAGAGATCATTTTTAAAAGAAGACCTAAAAGATAAATAGTTGGATCGTTGAAATACAATGTAGAGTCAATCCCATGAATGTATTTACATTGAGAGATTTCTCTAGACCTGGTAATTTCTTACATGACCTGTTAACACGACACAAAAATAACGGGTTCTAGGTCAACATGATAACTAATCAGGTCGTTGTCGGGTCACCCGTTAATAATGGGTCATTAACGGGTTTACACGTGCGTAAGCCATGGGTACGTAACCTGTTTCGACATGTTAAGAAAAACAATTATTTTGATGAATTTAAAGTTATACTACCTAAAATACTTACTATAAAATACAATAGCCATAGTATACATATTGTATACTAAATATATATTATTCTAGATAAGTTAAAAAAAATTAGGTTTTATTTATTTATTTATTTTATTATGTGAGTTTCTTATTATCATTATTAGGATAAATTTTACTTGACCTGTTGTCCAAAAATCAAATAAGCTAACATAGTATTAGTAAAGTAAAAGATAGACTTTCAATTTCAAGGTCAACGATATAACTAAATTTTTTATTCTCTCGTATGGTCATACTCATGAATGTTTTACCAACTTCGAAACCTGATACCATAATCCATATTTCTTAAATTTATATTTAACCGTCGATTGCATTTACGCTATTTCTTTTCATCAAAATTTCATTTTTTCAAATTTTTCGTGTTTTTTTAAACATTATCTTTTTAGCAAATGTAGAAAAATGAACAGTACGAATCATTGATATCACGTTAGCATTTGTCGCTCTTATTTTATCATCTTTCTCGCACAAAAGATACATATACAGTTGTACATTACACATATCATTCATGTGCAAGCTTTTGATAATTTGAGTCACTGGGGTCCTAGGGACTTTATAAACTCCGAGCAATATTTTCACTAACGATAAAACTCTGAGTATAATATTAACAATCTGAACCGTTCATCTTCCTACATCATGTAAAAGGTCATCTTTTCAAAAAACAAAATCTAAAAAAGACAAAATTTGGTGAGAAGAATGGAGAGTAAATGTAATAGACAATCAATGGTTAAATTTTAGTCTATAGTTTATGTGATTATAATGGCAAATTTCAAAGTTGAACCCTTCTCGAAAATTGTAAAGCTTGTTATTACGATGATTTATATATACATATATATATATATATTATTTTTTATTTTCCACACTTTAACATTAATTAACATTTATGTGCTACTTGAAAGACAAATGTGTTGTTATATTTTGAAGTAATATAACATTAATCAATGGTTAAATTTTAGTCTATAGTTTATGTGACAATGTGGTATGTATATAGTAATTTAGTATATTTTTTTATTTGATTATTTATTGGTTTAAAATATATTTTTGACTAGTAATAGGTCGGATCATATTACTCGTTTATTTTTACGAATGTTACACGATACGACCCGTTAAAATATTCAATATGACACAAAATTGATACGAACACGAAAAACATGGCAAGAATGTCATGTCTAGATTTCTCAACTGAAGCTCACTATATTTATTAGTCTTGAGTTTTGATTGTGGGTGAATATAATTGTGTGTGGTGTTGGGTTGAGTCGGGTTTGTTAGATGCTTTAAATTTTTTGTTAACACATGGTTGCTTTTTACTGTAGTGAAATAGTTATAATATCAATTCTTTTATATAAAATAGGACCCTTTTTGGTCACGGATGATTTTTGAAATTTGACTTGGTTGCTTAAATTTTTTTTTAACAAATAATATTTTATTTACACACTAAGAGAGTGGGGTTAATGTTAAATCTTAGAATGAACTAACAATAATATTATTTAAGTTTGCTTTTGATAAAAACCAAACTTAAGACCTCTCACTTATAAATAAAAAAAATATCACTATATTATGGTACTAAGTGGCTACCTCGTTCCCCATTTTGATCCCTCAATTCTAGAAATTAATCATTACTGTCTCTACCACCATCCGTCAATCCATATTGTGTATGTTTGTTAAATATTTTATCAATTTATTGATGTAGCACACATATATCCAATTAAACGTCGACACGTAAATTATGCAGTTAAGCTTTCTCTCAAATTTTGTTCTTTAGTTATTCTTCTACTTGATGCATTTAGGGCTAGTTTGTTATTGCTGTGTTTTGAAAAAAAATTACTTCTGTTGTATTGTGAGAATAAGCGGCTGTGAAATAAAGCTGTAGAGTATTTGGTAAACTTTTTTGTAAAAGTGCTTTTGAAAAAAAAAAGCAGTATTATAGTGTTGGTAAACTTTTATGTAAAACAGATGTGAAAAAAGGCAGTTTTTCAAAGCTCGGTTTTGTAGCTTCTTGTTTTTGGTTTTTTTTCACTCAAAACTGTAAAAAAAAAAGCTGAAGCTGAATGTTTACCAAACACAAAAAAAAACTTCCAGCTTTTTTTGATACCAACTTTTTTCAGAATCACCTCAGTACTAAACCACCTTAATATGGTATATTCAGCCAAGGAGACTTTTTATAATTTCTTTCAGCGGCACATAGTGCCAACCTGGCGTGCAAGGGTCCACTTGTCAAAATATTGATTCCACTTGCCTTCAACAACAACAAATCTGTGGTTGAAGACAAATGTGCCATGGTACTCCACTATTTTAGTTAGCCCCTTTTCTTTTTTTTTTTTGGCGAACTTTAGTTAGTCCCTTTATCCGGAAGAGGATCATTTCTTGAGCTCAGGATAGGAATCCTCCTGACCACGAAATTCAGATTGTTCAAATTTAATTCAACGGTTGTAATTATTATAACTTTTAGAGGGTTTTCCTGTTTAGAGCCGTTGGATTAAATTTAAACAATCCGAATTTCGTGGTCAGGAGAATCCCCATAGGAGAGGATCCTCTTCCCCTTTATCCTTCTTAGTGGGATGAGATATGGCACGAGATGTAGAAATTTCTGACCAAATCATGTAACAAAAGTTTTCCACAACAAAGGAGAGTATCCAAATTAAATATAAATCAAACCAAAATTCAAGAAGAAGATTCCATTATATGACCCCTACTGGATTGTTGTGATGTTTTTATTGTTTTTACATGCATTAGCATAGTTATAATTAGAGTAATGTTAGGTAGACTAGTTTTTTAGATTAATTTATAAATTATGTGACGTATAATTAATAAAAAATAAGTACATTAATTAAGACTTAAGTAAAATTTCAATTATCAACAACTACGTCATCTGATATCTATTCACCTTCTAATTTAGTGTAATAAAAAATAGCCACGTGTTCCTTGTTTTTAAAAATCAGGAAAAATTATTAACATATCTATTATTTATTTAAATAATAAAACATATGTTAAAAAATATTATTAAACAAAATCAAAAGATTAGTACTCAACATTGAATAATAAGTATGAAAATAAAAATCGACGACAAGAAAGCAACAATCAGTAATGACACACAACTGATGCCACAAAAAATAACGGCAGCTCGAAGACTTTTTTTTTAGTATTGTTGACCCTAAAAACTACCAAGCCTACGTGGCGTGCAGACCGAGTAATTAGTAAGTTAACTACGTCATTCGGTTGTATGCGGGGCGTGCCAACTCGTCGGCCGAGCTCGGCCGAGGAGTAAAATTTGTTGATATTGCGTTGGGTGCGCTGTTGACTTCTAAATCTCGCGACTGCGGTCGAGGAATGAACACTCTCGGCCTTCGGGTTCTAAAGCCTGAAGACAAGGCTACTATTTCTGCAAAGTTCAATATCAAATTCGGCTTTCAATGTGCCGAATGTAATAACTTGTAACACCTCACTTCGCTGAGAAGGCTAATGAGATGACCTTGACCAATAAGGATTCGAAAATCCTTCTTGACCGAGACTTGGATAGAAAACCAACCATCCCGTCGCAGTGCTGTTGATGCTAACGGAAGATGCTGCGAGATCAGCTGATTCTACGGTGACAAAGTTATCTATGCTGACTGAAGATATCACCGGTTGCTTTCACAGTGTTGTTGATGCCAACGGAAGATGTGTCAGCGAAAAGAGAAAATAAAAAATTTCAAAGTTGTTGAGAGAGTTTGCACAGGGCAGTTGTGTGTTGAATTGGAGGTCCTTTTTTTCGTTGCCACTGCACTGTATTTATAGCACTGAAGTACTTGCTCTGCACGGTCAGATGATGTTGCAGAGTTTAATTGCAACTCTAATTCCTGAAGTTGATCTGTATCTGTAACCCAAAACCAGGGCATATCCTTCAAACTGAGCTGTGAGATTTGTTC